CAATGGTCTATCGACTACGGCATGCACGACTATGAGTACACCCCCGTCCCTACCCGACCAGCAGGAAACATTGCCGGAGGAGACAGTGGAGGAGAATAATGGATACGTTGTTGTAACTAAAACTTTGAGTGAGTTCAAAGCGAAACGTATTGCATTAGACTTCCTACGGGCAAAGCACACCCTACTCTGACACGCAGCCCGAACCGGTATTCCATGGCATGCGTTTTGTTCAGGCAACAGGATCGCAGTAACCGATGGAATCAGTTCGCGAGCAACGACAACCTGGAAACAGCTTACCATCGGCGGGCAGCATACGGCAAACCACGCCCACTGCACCTGCTTCGCCAGCGCCTCATCTCTTCTTCGTTCTTCCTCCACGAACTCTGCAAGCACCTTCTTCTTCGCCTCCTTCACGTGTGTGTGTGTGTGTTTGTATGTAGAGGGAAGCGGCGAACAGAACGATAGCCCCACCCGACCACGTCGTGTCAAGTATCATTTGTTTTGTTGGTGCGAAACCTCGAGGCGCTTCTCGCTTAGCTTTGCTTCGTGCTGATCACACGGATGCTGCTTGGCAGCGGGAGACGTGAGCTTCTCACAAACTGCATGCTTTATCAGCCCCGTCGAGCAGACGACGATCAAACGTTCGTTTATGGGACTTCGGTAACGAAACTTTCTTGCTGGCCTGGGTTCGAATGTGAACGAATAAACGGCTGTTCAATATTGAGATGAAACTCTGCGTTACGGACGGCAACAAATTCAGCGCTAGCTAGCGCTGCAGTCACATATTGTATCCGGCGTTTACGACACACCTCACGCATGCATACCTCGTACGACTTCTTCTTCTGCTTAATCCGAGCCTGTCTTCGCTGTTCCTGCCTGTCGCGCTTGATCTGATTTTGATCCTCGAACCACTCTGGAGGAACCAGACTGTCCAGGAATTCTTTGTACCTTGTGGATTCGAGGCACCCCGCCGGAGAAGGGAACGGGTGAACGATTGCGCTTGACATTTCCACGAGGTTGCTTTGTGTGTGCTGCCAACGTAAGATAAGAATCGCACCGACCACGACGACCTCAGCACAATGGGAACGACAAAACCAACACCATCACCACCACCACCGCCACAACAATGTCGACAACATCAACAACAACAAGACGAAGTCCAGCAGCAGCACCTACACCGGCATTCTTGGGGCCGCGCCTGGTGTAGGCAAGACTGCCTGTCAAGACGTCTAACCTGAGGCAGTCCTCCAGGGCTTCTCGGTGCTTGCTCATGTCGCTCTGCACCATCTGAATCTGCTGGTTGAGTTTCTTAATCTCTTGGGCCTTGTCTGTTTTTAACTTACGATGTTGGCACACGCGTTCAGAAAGCAGCATGGTTGCTACTTAATCGTATTCGAAGATGGTTCAGGAAACCTGTGTTTCACGGGTTGTTCAGAAAAGAGGACGGTCAGGCCAGCGCCATCACCTACACATCAGCGTCAAGGAAGGGGTCATGGAGAAACGGAAATACTACAAAAAGTGAAAGCCCGCTGGAGCGTCCCCGCAGCGAAAAAAAAATAAAACGAGAAAAGGGTCGGAAATATCCAGCCGGGTGCTGAAGACATGACGGGTACACTACCATTGTGAGACGCGTACTGTCGTCTCTACCAAATCGCCGGGACAAGTGGTGAACGGGTTGTCTCTTTTCGAGACGTAGCCATGCATTCATTTGCAATAACCTTGAGTTGAACCACAAATGTCGCTGAATATACGCCGTGTCTGGGTTGTACGGAGATGAAGTCCGCCAGACCCTGACGGTGGTCGAATGTGCGCCGCCGAGAGGCGAACTTTTGCAATCAATGGATGACGGAACGTCTTCGTGCAAAGGAAACAGAGAGCAGGCAAGTGCCGCGTCCTGCTGGTGTGTACCTTAGTCTCTCGCTCGGCCTTCTTGATTGCCTCATGCGCCTTCTTGTCGTTCTCTTTGAGAAACGTATCGAAGCGAATCGCATCCTCCTCCAACATCTGTTACCACGGCGACGAAAAATATTCCGTACACAATCAAGAGAGGTCAGGTATTGAGGTAAATTGCGGTCAAGATATTCAGCGGGTTAACACACAAAGGAGGATATGAGAGCAAGAACGAATGAAACGGTTCAGCATGTTGCTTGGTTTCAAGCCTAGTGCTGCTGGATAAGCACGGCTGACCCGGTTGACAGGAATGAAAAGATGGTAAAGTCATTTATTAGGTTGCCCTCGTAGACAAGCAACAGGAGAGAGTGGGCGCCACGTGCGCCACAAAGCATCAAGCAACAGTCACAAGACATTCACCGACGTAAAGACGCATAGACTTTCCGCAACTCGGAACAATTCCAACTGCCAAAGACACGTCGGAAGATACCCCGAAGATCCACGGCCTTGGAACGGTCACTTGCACACTTTCTCGCTCTCAAACCATACATGAGTACCCACCGCAGTAGCGTTCGGAAGGATGACATAATCCACCTCACGGACACAGCAAACTTGGCGATGATTTCAGTCGTGACATCCGATACTTGCGGGGCAGCGACAAATAGCAGGTACACAGTGCGACAACTATGCCAAAGTGAGTACAGTAACAATGCACCACACGGAGCGGATCGCTCTCTCGCCTGCTCGCTCTTCCTCAAAGCCTCCTCCTTCATCCTGGCCTTCTCTTCTAGTTTCCGTATCTCCTCGCGCTTGGTGTCCAGGCTCATCTGAACGAGGAACATCTCTCGCTTTTTCGAAATGAACTCTGCCATGCTTTCCTTTTCTTGCTGCCGATCGTTGGTGATCATTGTGGCCGCCTGTTATTTTTGCCGTGTGTACCACGCATTCAGTGACAAATAGGAGAAACAGGAAGTCGTCTGTGGTACAGTCGGCCAGCTCGGTCTATCATGTTTACTCGTGCACACAGCACTAGGAATCTCTGTCTGCTTCCAGGCCCAGAAGACACTGGTGGGTGATCGTGCCTACAACGTCACTACGCAATGGTGGCAGCCGGTAGACAAAGTGAAATAAGGGACGAGGGGTTGAGAGTGTTGTCGGACTGATTTGCATCTTCGAAAACATCTGTTCCTGTTCGACACGCCATGATGTCACCCTCCAGCCCGCCAGCATGTTTGAGTACAGTACGTCATCGTGGCACCCACCTGGTGCATCATCTCGGCGTTGGCGAGCGCTCGCTTTCCGGGAGTGCAATCCTCTCCGCTTACTATGGCCGCTCCAGTATTTTTCAACAGGTCACCAATCTTCGCCGAGCGCCCCGATACGGCGCTCTTGGTCGTCTTCTGCCATACCTGGCGGAATACAACACGATGAAAGTACACATTCATTCATCTTAGACAACGAAGAAGTAAGACGAGGCTTCACGCTTCACACTGTATAAAAGGAATAGCTCCATACAGGAAGGAAAGATGGAACGGGCTATCTTTGGGTTTCTACGAGAGACGCCTTTAGATGCTTGCTCAACAAACGGGAAAGTCTCGATATTCAAGCGCGGGTCACGAAAACTGCTTGCAGACGACTATAAAGTATGCAGCCCGCACAGCAATTCCGTGGGCAATGCCACGCTCGTTGAAAAACAAACCCACTGAACTAAGATGAAAGGCGCATTCTATCCACGAGCGCATTGCCTGACACGCCGGCTGCTGAAACACAGCCCACAACTCCCTCTCTCCCCTTATAGTCTGGCCAACGCAAGCGTGATAGTACTTCCAGGCTACACAAAGTTTAAGATGAGACCCGGCAAACACCATACGGCAGGCAAGGTTCCCACCTTTTGCCCTCTCCGTGCGACTCGCTCCTTTGCTTTTCTAGACTTCTCTTCCTGTCGCATGCGAAACACTTCCTCATCGGCGGGCAAGATGAAGGGGTTCCGATCCGCCGAGCTCGACCCAGCCAAGGCTTCATCCTGGGGATGTCCAACCGTTCCACAGGCATAGCTTCAGAAATCACACCAACTCATTTCGTGGTGGAGGAAACTCCACTGCAACAAAACGTGCCTCGAACGGAGACCAGAACGACAGGTCGACCTGAAGCAATATTTTGGACCGTTCTTTTCCTCCCCGTTGTTTTTTTTAGTCATGCCAACCCCTCACATCGCCATTGATCTAAAGTAGACAATATAGTCCAGGTTCTACTCGCGTATCTAACTCATTGTACATTAGAGTCGGTGAAGCCAGTCGAAACTCTGCCGCATCACTATTTTGTGCGCCACTGCCGAAGGTGCGTAAATGTGACACGAGACGCTTGAGGGCATTCGAAAAACCTATTGCTACAGCCGTTGGGGCAAGTGATATCTTCTACTTTCAAACCCTTACATGCAACAGAAACCTTAAATATTAAACGGCCAAAACTCATACCGCGGCAGCCTGGTGGAAAGCTAGGGATCGCTCCATGTCGAGCACATAGACTAACTAGAGTATGTACTGGGTACAACAGTCAAAGCACTGAGTGCTATCAATACTACTACTGTAGTCCTCACAAATCGCAAACTGCTTAGATACAACATAAGGAAAGCGATCTAGACACAATTCGTACATAACCCACAACCCACGTGTGACTCGTCCATCCTCGTGGGAGCTGCGTGCACTGTCCCGCGTTGCCTCACGACAGAAGACATCTATAGAACCTCTACAGTAGTATCCGGTACCCAAGATCAAACTGGCTGTGTCCTATAACCCTCGTCCGGCGGGATCTGATTGTACCAGTGCTCGCTGATGATGCGTAGTGCGTGTGTGCACAACAAAGCGCAGCTACCCCGGTTTTCCCGAGCCAACCCCAAAAAGGAAGATGCTGGCGCGAACAAGTCCTCATCGTGGGACGGCGGCGTCCCTGATTACACCAATAAAATAAAATAAACGGAACCAACCGTTTCGTCCAGCCTCTGTGCATTTTCGAACTCCGCGGGGCCCCGTGTATCTTACAGTTGGGTACGGTGGGGACAGATGGAATGTGAGGCACTCGAGCGCGAGCATCTGTTACAGCACCGCACCGCCTACCGCCCGCGGGAGAGAGCACGAACACTCTAGGAGAGAGGGACGGGCAGAAGCATGTTTGTGAAAAAAGATACCAGGAAAATCCCAGATATCCTTGCTGATGAGGGCGACGAAAGGGAAGAGCTGCACCTCGGTCGAAGGTGAGAGCGCCCACAGGGATCTTTTTTTCAAATTCAAACTTTTGGCAACCAGGGGAATATGGCCAAGGGCCCAGACCCAGACCGAGAGATACAGGTAGACTCGTCTATCACATCCACTGCGTACTACCTGCACGAGCAGAGGGGCTTGTCCGATGTTCTTATCTACGGTCCAATGTTTGATATGCAAAGGGACGTTGGTGGAAGCGGGTGTGTGGTTGACACAAGACACCACCCCCTGGACCCATTTGCAAAGCTCAATTGCTCCACAGCAGAATAAAGAGTAGCGGTGCAGAATGTGGCGGCGTTGGAACCGTTTCATTTGGTGTTGGCGTCCTGTTCGTCCTGTGGAGTAGTCGAGGGTTGAAATTCGGTGCAGGGGGGTGTGGTATCTTATGTAACCTCAGTAGAACTTTGCCAGTGCGTGCATGTCACTGCTGCCATCCGAAACAATAGCAGCACTCCATTGAACCAGAACATTGTACAAGGCTCCTTCGGAATTTGGGTGGCTTTCCTCCCGGGGGCGACGCAAGAGGCATGGCCAACGTCATCGCGGTCGCATCGTCGCATCTCAACGCCGTAGCGTTTGGTAGTGCCGGTTTCGCGTACAACCTGCAGAATTTGCCTGGGATTTGCATCATGTGCGGGGTATTTTTTCCTCGCCGTGACTTGTCGGGTGTTCTTGAGTGTGTGCATTTCGGCTGGTGGCGTCTTTGCTACAGGTCCTACTGCTGTAATCCGCTGCGTCTGATCCGCCCACCCTGATGTATTCTTGTTGCCCATATTCTGTGGGACTTGTCTGCGTTGCGCAGGAAGCAAAACTCTTCCTGTTTCTGCGATACAGTTATTTTTGTATTTCTTGCGAAAGCTTCCTTCGCGCGGAATACGTCCCCGGGGTGTAGAGGCAGTTCCTTCAACTTTGGGCTTCAAGCACATGCGCCATGGGTGGCTGGGGGTCCTCGGGCGTGCGCAGCACTGTACCGATGATCCCTCTGCGTGCCCCTGAGAAAGAAGCTTGAGAAAAGACTCGCTTCCGCCAGTGAAATATGTCCCTAAGACGAAGAAGGCGAAATGGCACATACACATATTCTGCGATATACGGGGCACGTTGCGTGCATGGGTGTCGTGCATGTGCGGGAAAAAGTGTTGTCGCACCAGACTATTGTTTCGATCTAGCACGGGAATTCATCACGCGGTCGATCCCAAACTATCCTTCGATTTGCGCAGGTCGTCCGAGTTCGTGTCCAACGGCATCAAGGTGGTTTGCAGCAGCAGGCACATACCCCGACTCCAAAAGCTCCAGAAATTGTCGCTCTACGACAACATGCTCAGCCACGTAAAAGTATGCTCGTATAACACATGTATGTGTGCATTCTCGTGCATTTTACATGCGTGCCGTTGCGATACGAGTGTATCGCTAGTGCGGACTCTAGAATATCACGCGGAGGGCTTCGCCTATTTTTTGTGCTCTGGCAGTTGGACCATCAGCAGGCCATATGTGTTTCTCCATCGCGATGTACCGCATCTGCCTGGCCAACCTCATTGAACAAGACGGCTCCACTTTTTTTTTTGCGGTACGGTGTACCAAGTGCTTGATACGAAGCGACCGAATTGCTGCTCCTTCGCTTGATTTGCCACCGCGAACCACCAGTTTCGTGAAGAGCTATTGTCTACACAGCCGGCATAATGTGTTAGGTTTTGCGCGTGGGCTTCATGATGTATTGCATTTTTAGTCGCACCTTTCTTGCATAATCGGGCGTTTTTTGCCCCCCTCCTGCCGACCACGCAGGGTATCGGAGCTCTGTCGGCAACACCACTTAAACAGCTCAACTTAGGGAGAAACCAGCTCAAGTCTCTGCCCCCGGAGCTAGGCAAGGTATATACCCAGACACACCCAGGGAACGCCCGTATGGGATCGTGCTTCGACGTGCGTTGCACACTGGCGCACTCGCGGCTGAGTGATACCACCTCTTGTTGCTTTCCTACACCGAACATGCCACAGCCGGCGCCTTTTCTTTTCCTTGAAGCCGCGAACGACCTGTGGATGGTTTTACTATTTTGCTTGCTGCGTCCTGCGTCCTGGATACGATTTACGACGTCAAAGGCTCACGCGTTCAGGGCCTATCTGCGAGTCGAACATAGCCGAGGAAGGGATGAAAGAATCGCCCCGGTATCATTGGCGTGTGCTTCGCTGCCCGATGTTTTTGGACCAACACGTGTTGCTGATACCCTGAAACCGCCGCCGCTACTGGGGGCGATCCCAATCAGGTGGGGACGCTGGAGACTCTGTGGGTGGACGATAACGCTATCACAGACTTTCCTCGTTCGGTGTTACAGCTGAAGTGAGTGGAATATCGCCGCTCCTCCGCCTGGCCTCCAAACAAATGTTCGTGGTTCCTGACCGGTGTTTGAAACCGAACCGGCTCACCAGGCCCAATTAAGTGCATGCAATACCCAAGTGTCTGTGTCGGCGGCAGTTCATACCATGTTGCAACTGTACAGGAACGAATACCATTCACGGGTGGCAGCGAGCACGAGAAACCCGCGTGCTGCCTGTGGCACGTTGTCGTCACTGTGGCACGTCGTCGTCACTATGGCACGTTGTCGTCACTGCGGCACGTTGTCGTCACTGCGTTTAGGACCTGAAACCCATTTTTCGTCACCGTTCATTCTCTCCAGTCTGGAATAGGTTATGATGTCGGCTTATTTTTCTGATGCCAAGTACGTCGCATTCTGCGAGAATGGAAACACGGAGTTCTCGATGTTCCGACGGCCCGATTAGATCCGGGTACACCCAGAGGGTACATTTATGGTAGCTGTTGTTGTTGTTGTTGTTGTTGTTGTTGGCGCTGGCGCAAACACGGAAGAACTCGCTCGAGTGGCGGACACTGCTCCAAACGTGTGAAAAACACCAGACGAAGGGAGCGACACAACAACCGGCTTGTGGACCCGTAGGGTGTGAGTGCTTTCGTTCTCACACCTTGTGTAGACAATACTTGGCCGACGCTGGATTGCTCCACGACCAAAGGTGGTGCAAAAAGTGCCGAAAACAGTAGACTTGGAAGTATGTCTCGTCCGCAACTTTCCTTTCACGCATGGGTCATAATCGAGCTTTGAGGACGTAGCGGTGGTGCTGCAATAGCGCGCTTGTATCCTCGATTTATTTCTTGCCGCCAGATACGTTGCAACCGATAGCCACTTAACACTAATCAATGTAGCCATCACTTTGGCTTTTCTTTCGCGTGCGCTGCGCCAAATGGGTCTTGCTGTTCAGGCGCTTGCAAGAGCTTCGGCTGAGCGGCAACCGAATTTCGGAGGTGAGCAGGGGAACGCCATGTCCTCGTCTTAGAGACTGAATCTGTGTACCTAGTTGTAGGTGTTTGCTAGCACTGTTCGTGCGCGGAAATATCCACAAGTGTGTGCCTGAACTGTGATGATCCATGGGGGCTGTGAGTGGAACCAGATACCCCGGCTGAGTGCTTTGCTTGTGACAGACTGTGGAGTTTGATCGGGAAGCGCTGCCCTCATGCTCCCTCCTAGCTCAGTCTATGCCTCAACTCCTGACCCATGGGAAGCTCCCGCCTCGCGTACTCTTCCCCGCCACTTGATTGTAAAGCTCGATCTGCTAGTTGTTGTTCCAAATCAGTCACTCAGCCGGCTCCCACTTCTTCCAGGAGTATTTCAAGGCGGATTTCTGGTGACAATATCATGGATCTTTCCCCTCTACCCCGTTAGTTCTTGCTAGTTTTCCGCGTCTCTCGAGTCCAAAGGTGTCGTGCGTGCTGGGACCAATCCCCTCGAATACGTTGTCCCGTTACTTGGACCTTCTTCTTTGTATCCTGCACGTTTTCTGCGGTCCGATGAACTCCTGCTGGGTAGGTGATCAGCTCCTTGGCAGCAAATCCTCACATCCCACTACTGTCAGAGATGCCCCATCTACAGTACCCGCGATCGCGCGGCAGTTGTCCGTTGGGTCTCTCCCTGGAAATCGAAGATGCATTCACTAGCTTAGCCTACTCGGTGGGAATGCATTTCTCTTCCTATTCCCATCTTGTGGGCAATCCGATGAACACGCCTCCCGCCTGGTACAATAGCGTAGTGCGGACTACGGGAGGGGGTACGCTGGACAGCAGGAGGTGGAACCGCCTTTGTTTCCGCCTACACAACCAACAAACAGAAAGGACGCGCACAGAGTGTCCGGTAACCACTCGACTCGCCTGCTGCGACTGAAACTCGATCAGGTGCCGGAAGAAATCGCTGCTCTTTCGGAGCTGCGAGTGCTGGCTCTGGATAACAACGAGATTATGACGGTACCAAAGTCCATCGGAAAGCTTTCGCGCCTACAGTCTCTTTTGCTGAGGTGCGTACAACCTTCCCTCGTGCTCGAAATAAACCCGTTAATGAACTGTAACGATATTGCGTTTCTCGGGGGAGGCGAAGCCTCCGCTGCGGTGTTCCGTGCGCCCCTGGTCCGCCACTGCGAATTGATCCGTGGAACTTCAGAACGATGGCGGTTGAGCCAAATGTGGTAGCTGCCGGGACGCCATGGCCGTTTTGAAGAGAGGGTTGAAATTTCGCCGCCCTCCTTTCTTGCCATTGAAAATGGGGGCATGATGCTACTGTCGACTGTTGCTTCAGTTCTCGTAACGATGAAATGTGGGACAGAAACGAAAGCAACGTTGCTTGCTTTTCTCGTGCAGTCTGGAATTCGGCAGGGATACAATTGTAACCTAACGGGCAGTAAAGTAGAAACAACGAGAGAAAAAAGAGCGATAGACGGACAAATCACGGCGAGTTCCTCGATATTAGTTCAGAGATGCATATAGATTTTGTGCGAGCATCGCTGTGACGACTACGCGAACGCCTCGCTTACCTGCCGCCGCGAAGACGGAGACATTGCCACCGGCACAATAGTAGGACCTTGGACTGCGGCGGCACCTGAGATGCAGTAACGTCCCCAAACATCAGGCTGCGATACCCCTCGGAAGCCCGGCCAAGTGCCATATTTCGCATACGACCTTCTCCCCCTCGAAAAATTGAGCATGCGTTTTGGTTTGTCGCTTTGTGCAACAAGTAGCCATTCCAGCGCATTTTGTTTCTTCTGTCGTTCGAACATGAACCCAGGCAGAACGAGCTCGAGGAGCTGCCGGTTGAGGTGGGCGGCCTCCTTGACCTAAAAACCCTCAGCGTCAGCAGCAACAGGCTCGCATCGCTCCCCGCATCGGTTGGGCAGCTGGTTCTGCTCGAGTTCCTCTTCGCCAATGGCAACCGCCTCCTGTCCCTTCCCCCGGAGTTGGCAAGGCTGATGAAACTCCGAAAGGTAAGAGACCGGTGTCAGGGAAAGCGGGCCATTTTCATTGGCGATGGACGTCGTTTGTATGTTGTAGGCGGCGGGGGTACTCTCTGCGACTTACTCCTCTTCCGCGCTGATAGTGAGCCGTTGAAACGGAAAGCGTTTCGGATGAATCCGTCAAGGTCCGCTACGCCGTCGCGAGCAAGGTTCATACAGGTTTCAGGTCAAACAGAGAAAATTACTTCCTGTGCTTCAGTATTGTGCTGAGGGCAATGCTTGGGCGTGGAGGAACCATCGATTATTTTGCCGCCCTTTCGCTTGACGTTGTGGTATCTTTGTGAGGGTCGAATCCACGCTTGATTGAGCGAACGGCCTAGTAAGCGGAGCCGACCTCGTCACGACTGACCACTACTCTCCTGTTGGGATAAAGTGCGCTTAACACCCGGAATCACACCTCCCTCGGACTAGAAATTGTGCAGAAGAAGCTTGTTTTTCACTCGCCAAAAGCATGTCGAAGATGAAACTGACCACCCCACCAGCCTTTGCCCAATGTAGTAAGGTAGGTCCAACGAATTGTGGAGAAGTTTTTGTAACATTATATGCCTTATTAACTGGACAGTTTCCTAAGCATTACCGTTCGCTGTACCCAAGTACTCTTGTGGTGGGGCAGTACGACCTAGCATACTATGTACCCTGGTTCACTGACGGAACGATTAGATACGTTTTTCGACTGGTGAAATTGAGCTCAAAATACGGCTTGCCCGTCCTCCTTGCCCCCCCCCCAGAATACCCGTGCGTCGAATAGGACACGCAAGACAATAATGTGAATCTCTTCTCTTCCGCACCAATCCATCAAAACCTGTTGCATGCTCCTCTTTGGCATTCTCGCACAGATGTCGTATTTTACCCACCCCGCCCACGGACAACTCACTCCAATTGAAACGTGTCCCCTTTGTCCCCTTGATACTACTAATTATGTGACCCTCCTCGTCGAGTTCAAGCGATCGGGCGTGGCGAAACAGGCGTGTCTCGTTGTGTCAATGCCTTCCGTATCTGTTTGATCTGGCACTCACGAGTTTAGCTACACTTTTTCCGTTCATAACTGCAAGATATCAGGCGAACACCTGAAACCAATTGAGCCCGTCACCAACACGCAAGCCATACCCGAACGACCTTGGAACAGGCAAATCTATCGAACAACTCGATCCACTCGCTGCCTGCTGACGTGGAGGCGGCCTGGGGAAGGGCTGACCCCGTGACGGGAAAGCTCGACCCGGCCACAGTGGATTCTCCGAGAAAGACCGAGGTCGTAATTCGCGGTAACCCTGTCGCGGACCCTAAGCAGGCCGGCGGAAGCGCTAGCGGTTACAATGCGGAGCAAGACATGGCATCGTCGACGGATGAGACCCGATAAGTGGTTTCGACGGCTCACAGCGATGGGCCGCGGTGTTTGGCTGGCTGGCACAAGTTGTGTTTGATCCCTTGCTGCTTAGAACCAGGGTCACGCAGGCCAAACCTGGTTGCCGATATCTTGTTTCCCCGTACGTGCACTTGCACCAGGCCTGCTCGTATTTGAGGTCTTTCTTTCTTTCTTCGATGCCATGACCAGCGTGTACATGGTACTGGTTGATTTTGTCCCCAAGGACTCTTGCTGAAGGCCATTGTTGGTCCTGCGGCATGGAGCCTATCGACAGAATCGCAGAGTACCACAGTAGCAGTACTTTCCAAGAAGAGCTAGTCAACGTTAGACTACAAGTAAATTGTGAAGTATACATGCTGTAGCGATGGTCATCCTCAACACGTAACATACTGATTCTTCCGCGCATGATGACGCCAAGATGACTGCACTGCGGGGACCGAATGCCATCCTGAGATCGCATATGTTTTTGCACATGGCGCCCCTCTGCCGCACATCTTGATATATCGGGTCAGCGGGGACACTCACTAAGAAAGCAGATTTCGACGAGAAAACAAGGGTTGGTATGCCTGCTTTGAACACTGCACGGTCGCATATTTTCCGCACAAGGAACTCATCACTCTACGTGTTTTTTTTTATTAGTTTTTCGTGTATTTGCACACAGGTAGGTACGATGCGTCTTGGCGTCGTCGTTTGGTGGGAACATCGTACTCGCTACAAATAATCTTGTTCAGCTGTTACCCAAGGGCAGATCTCACTGCAAGCTTCAAGGAAGTGTGGGACAAGCAGGCAGCAGGGTAGGCCATACACGGGAACACTATGAATGTTCGTAATTTCCTGTTGTCAAGGAACTGTATGAATCCATCGCTATTCCTGGAGCACTGTCATGTTCTGTCATCGTCGTGATGTCGTCGTCGTAGGTGTCTTCACATTGCAATCCGTCCTGGTCTCTGCTCCATACCTAACATCCGCCGCTCATCTAACTGGTGCGGTCGCTCACCCAAGGAGAGTATCACACACGCTTGGACACGCTGTCGAAAACAATAGCATCGCGAATGTTGGCACTTGCTCTGTGAAGATGAATTCGACGTGCTTTTTGTACAGGGAAGGAGGTCATCGGCTTTGACAGACTTAAAATAAACAGGAAGCAGGTTCTCTCCCGATTCATTGCATACTGCTGTATTGCATTCATTGTACAGCAGTAGTCCAGACCAAGCAACATTTTCAACAAAAAAGCCTCAAGTGCATGTATGTCCACAGACGCAGAGCCTTGGAGGTCCAATGACATGGGTCCTTGCTGTTTGGGCGCGCGACTCTCAAGGCCATCGAGAAACATGTGTCAGTTGCTATTTGGTGAGAATATAACGCAAGTAAGTACCAAACGTATGCGCGGTAGATGCGGAGGAATTCGAGCAGCCGGGAACATTACAGTGAAACGGAACATTGTGCAAAGCCATGCACGCATATACATTGCCCGTGTTGACATGTGTGTGCGACAGGTTTCCTCTGTGGATGGTGTGAAAGCGGGTGTCGGATGGTGGTGGATGTAAGTCAAAGCCTTGAGCGCTCGTCCGATCGAGAGAGTTCGAACATCGGGTGTGCGTCACAGGCGACGTCGCGACGTCACCACGGCGTCTAGCCAAGAACCAAATGCTGCCCAATTCACATCGTGAGCGCCGACTGCCATTATCGCGAGGTTCACCTCATGGGGTCTCATGTCGTGCGCGAACCGCGCGGCTGTCTCTTCGAGCTCACAGCGCAAAGGTTGAATGGGAAGTAGTGCACGGAGAACCTTGCCCTTACGCCCGGCCCGCGCGTCCTGATCTCGGTCGAGATGGGAGGAAAAGACGTGGCCCTGCTGCCGCAGTTCACCATAACAGGCTTAGTCAGGATGTGAGACGTTTGCCTGAAGGAGTGCCCGACGCACAGCCCCAGCGCCTCTTCGGCAGTGGGTTCGTTAGGACTCTTAGTGCATCAGCAGGGCAAAAAAGAAGCTGGTTTGATAGCAGTAGCAGCTGTCGTGCGATTGGCGCAGCTGCTGCTGACGCGGCCGCCACTCGAGCAGATGCAAGGCGGGGAGGGAAAAGTCTCATTGCCAAGAAGGCCAGCATGGCACACCGTACGCCGAAGAACAGGCATGAGGGGTGCAACACAGCCGTGCCGACTCTTCTAGAGCTGCACCAGCGCGTGATCGATGCCGCGCTTCGCGAGATCTCGCGGCCACGCGACCGGCCCTTTGACAACCTTGGTGAACGCCTTGGAGGAGAACACGACACCTTCACCTACTGCTCACAACACGACAGCATCGCGAGTAGGGGTTGCAGCGGCGACAGAAGCATCCAGTCGCTTCCCCGGCCCGCTGAAATCATGCAGAGACGACGTGCTTCAACGGCGGGAAAACGGCGAGCTTTCGTACGCGCTCGCGACCTGCCAAGGCAATGTACCACCATCTCCCCTTTCCGCACACAGACGGCAGACTCGTCGACTCTGTCCAACAGGTTGCCGCGACTGGAAGGTGATGACCCATGGAAAATCCCGCTCTTACGAACCTCCTGGACTTACGGCGATGAGAGCTCTCTGAGTAACAGAAGTGGTAGTTTGGGCGGAATCGAATATGTTGACCCTGACGCGGATTTACCAAGAAGATGTTCTGAGCTTGAATCACAGGAAGGGCAGGAAAACGCTGCATTGGCGCCTCCCCCGGAGCAGCAGCGAGGCGCAGCCGCTAGACCACCTGAACATTTGAAGCGCAGCCCCAACCAATGTAGCAGTGAGAATAGCATCCCAACGCCACATCCTGAACGCATTGCTGTATCGTCTGCGGTGGACCTGCCGGCGTTTGGCGCCGCTGCGAAGGAGAATATCGAAGAATCGATGTCCTGCGCGCGGGCGTTGACAGTCACGACCCTTGGTGAGGACCGCCGGCCACATGCTGAAAATTGCACAAGGAGCACGCCCTTACCGCGCACCGCCGCTTCGCAGTTCGTCGATGAAACAGTTGCTCACGCTTTCCAGGGCCGGCTGGTTGAAGCATCCGGAAAAAATAGACTTAGTCTAGAGTTTTCAGAAGACAGCCAGTGTGACGGCCCAAGGCCAACGGACGAAGGTTATTTGGAAAAGGAAGCAAGCATGACGGCAAGTGGACGCTCTACTGAATATCTCCAAAGAGGAGTGCAATCAAGGCCGGAGAATATCGTCACAGCTTCAGGCCCACCGACACCCACAGAGGCGGGAACCGTCCCCACTGATACAGCTCTACCGGAAAATGCTGCTCTGAGAAGTAGTGTTTTCTCGGCGGAATCAAAAACCATGGCGCATGAATGCTCTGATGAATACCTCCAACAAGGTCTACGGGCAAGCCTGGCGCAAATCATGGGAGTACCTTCGGACTCATCGATACCCACGGTGGTGAGAACCAACAACACCGCCGGAACCTCTCTAGCCGAAAGTGCTGGCCAAACAAGTAGGGGTTTCTTGGCGGAATTACGAGCCATGGCGCATGAATGCTCTGATGAATACCTCCAACAAGGTCTACGGGCAAGCCTGGCGCAAATCATGGGAGTACCTTCGGACTCATCGATACCCACGGTGGTGAGAACCAACAACACCGCCGGAACCTCTCTAGCCGAAAGTGCTGGCCAAACAAGTAGGGGTTTCTTGGCGGAATTACGAGCCATGGCGCATGAATGCTCTGATGAATACCTCCAACAAGGTCTACGGGCAAGCCTGGCGCAAATCATGGGAGTACCTTCGGAGTCATCGATGCCTGCGGAGGTGGGAACCAACAACACCGCCGGAACCTCTCTAGCCGAAAGTGCTGGCCAAACAAGTAGGGGTTTCTTGGCGGAATTACGAGCCATGGCGCATGAATGCTCTGATGAATACCTCCAACAAGGTCTACGGGCAAGCCTGGCGCAAATCATGGGAGTACCTTCGGAGTCATCGATGCCTGCGGAGGTGGGAACCAACAACACCGCCAGAACCTCTCTAGCCGAAAGTGCTGGCCAGACAAGTAGGGATTTCTCGGCGGAATCAAGAGCCATGGTACGCGAATGCTCTGATGAATACCTCCAACAAGGTCTACGGGCAAGCCTGGCGCAAATCATGGATGTACCTTCGGACTTATCGATACCCGCGGAGGTGAGAACCAATAACACCGCCGGAACCTCTCTAGCCGAAAGTGCTGGCCAGACAAGTAGGGATTTCTTGGCAGAAACAAGAGTCATGGCGCATGAATGCTCTAATAAATACCTCCAACAAGGTCTACGGGCAAGCCTGGCGCATATCGTGGGAGCAGCTTTGGGCTCATCGATACCCGCGGGGGCGAGAACCAACAACACCGCCGAAATCTCCCTACCCGAAACCGCTGGCCAGACAAGTAGGAATCTCTCGGTGGAATTAAGAGCCATGGCACAGGAAAGCTCGGTTGAATACCTCCAACAAGGTTTACGGGCAAGCCTGGCGCACATCCTGGGAGTAGCTTCGGGCTCATCAACACCCACGGAGGCGGGAACTATCACCGCTGGCACAACTCCCCCTGAAACCGCTGGCCGGAAACGTGGGGATATGGCGGTAGCATCAAAGGCCATGGCGCAGGAATGCTCAGTTGTATACCTCCAACAAGGTTTACCGGCAAGCCCGGGGAATAACATCGGAGTAGATCCTCGCTCATCGACCCCCAAAGAGGTGAGAAGCAACAGCACCACCGGCACCACTCCACCCGAACCGTTTGGTCGGCGAAACCGCCTCATCCCAGCGTCAGCACAACTAGGTATTAAGGACCGAGGTTGCGATGGTGCAGGCGGGAGCTGCACCACAACGCCGTTGTCGGGGTTCACAACGCCGATATCAACAGACAGCAGCTCTGCAACAGAATTTGTTTTGAACGATGATGCTTTCCGGAACGCAGAAGAAAAGGGGAGTTGGGCGACGCTCTCTGGCTCGGATCAGGTATTGAACCACCACGACATCCACACGGGTTTCAGCACGGGTGTTTACCAGGGCTTCGCTTTAGCGCGAGAAGATGCAGTAATCAACGCGGCTGAAGCGGCGGTGGAAGGGTGGCTGTTCGGCGCCGTCGGTAAGTCGGCACGAAAGGCTCAGCCTGCAACTACGTCCGAGACAGTGGGAAAACCGCTCGCGCACACTTCTAACAAGATGGAAACAGGGGGAGCGAATGAGGACGAAGCGAGCTCTGGCGAACACCGGCGAAGTCCTGCCGCTCCCACCCAACTGGGTCTCCCACTCGGGTTTCTGAACGACATAGTGGAGCGTAGGGCGTCGCTCAAGCCCGTTACAACCGCGCAAATAACGCCGATGGAGGTGAAAATAGGAGGCGGAAAGTCGGAGGTTGCGTCGCGGCTACAACGCGAGTGGGGTGTAGAGCGAGAAGCGAGAGACAGAGCCGCTGCGCTCCTGGAGCTCACTGCACTCGTGCGGGCCAAAGCTTTGGATCGGTACGACCCGGACGATTTCTCAAGGGAGGCGCTTTTCGGCGAAGGGAGGCACTCGGTGGTTTACAGGGTGTCCGCTACCAGGCCGTGGGGAGCAACGGGTAGGTTTGAGGGGCATCCGGGTGGCCGCCCAGCGACGAAAGGAGCAAGGCTGAGAGAGGCTGCCGCGGCGACGATGGCAAGGAAGGTGAACACTGCTATTCTTACAGCGGCGGAAACAGGTGTGGTTTCGATGGAAGTAACAAACTTGTCGAAGGCTGCCGTGGCTGAAGAGATAACGGTTGTGGCGATGATGGCGGCGGCTCTCGTTGAGTCCGTGATTCGGACGTCGAGTTCGGCAGTGGTGGTAACGGTTACGGCGGCGGCATCAGCAGAAAATGACGAAAATATAGGCACAGTGCTCGCTGCAAAGGAATTCCGATACATGCGAGCGGATGCACCCGAGTCGATCCTGCGCCAAGCTCATCGAGAGGTGTGTATGCACCTACGAGTCTCCGATTGTGTCAACGTTGTTGCTCTCCGGGGGGTTTGGGTGCTGCCACGCGTTACAATCCTTCTCGAACCAATGCACGAAGGGAACCTCCACGGTTTTGTCCGAGCTAGGGCTGCCGAGGGCCATGAACGACAAGAAGGCCTCGAAACACGAAGGCAACGTGCGAGGCTCGTGGCGGAGGCCGCCGAAGGTCTTGCCGCCCTTCACAACGCAGGAATAGTCCATCGAGACGTCAAGAGCCACAACGTGTTGGTGGTACGGCAACGACGGATGGCATTTGGAGGTGCCGAACCTGTCGGCGTGCGTGGATGTGAGCACGGCGAGCGCGACCAAAGCTGCACGTTCGTGGACGGTATTGATGAGTCGGGATGGGAAGCAAAGCTGGGAGACCTAGGAAGCGCAGCCTTGATCCCCCTGAAGGGGCAGGCTGCTTTGACAGAAGAAATCGGTACGAGTGGGTGGACGGCCCCAGAGGTGAGAAGATGGGACTTGTTCGCTTCCCTAACCCTGGACATAAATGATTCAGTGACGCCAATACGCCGCTCATCATGCCGTTGGGTGCTGCTCAAGTTATTCCATCCTCGTGCCGTATGATTAGACTGCACGCTTCGTTCATATTTTCTTGGTTGCCTCTGTTGCTGCTGCTCTGGTTTCAGAAATCTTGTTTCCGAGCCAGGCCGTCGCTGTGGTGTGAAGGCAATCATCACCTTTGTTACTTGACTGTTGATTTTCGAACCATCCTCCCGTGGACTAACCTGTATCGCGGGAGCATCGAGCTCGTTGTCCTATGCGCCCCCGAAACAACTTTTCCGCGAGTAAACATCCTCGTCAATGGCCAACATAGCTAATCACCGAATGGCGAGTGCCCTTGATGACCAGGAAGAGGGCGACCGAGACGGGCAGAGGGAGTTGGGCGGGTGGCCCTCTTGCGGGAATATGGAAAAAGCACCACACAGTCACCACCACAATACACAGGCAATATTATATAATGCAATTGTTATTGTGGTTGACAACATGCAGACAAGTATTCTCGGAAAAGCTCTGAACCCACCCCTGCATTTTTTCCCTCCTGGAAACCAAAAACCCACCGCCAGGTGTGCGAGGGCCGCGGGTACGGAACGCCGGCGGACGTATTCAGCCTGGGCGTGCTTATCTGGGACGCCTTCGTGTGCGGAGCGCTTGAGAACCCCATGTGCGGGCGGTCAGGAGACCAGCTGACGGGGGAATTGAGACCCCGTTGGCCGCAGCCACCTTTACCAGTTGTGCCTTCGGACATCGAGAGGTTGGCTGAGCGTTGTTGGGTCCCCGATCCTGAAGCTCGTCCAACTGCTAGTGCGGTAGCCGCCGAGCTTCGGGCGTTTTGTTGTCGTGCTTGTGTCGAAATTGGTGGTTAACCTGCATGTCTGGTTTTCACTTGTGGCTTGGAGGGCTTCAAAGCCGTTTTGGATTGTTGTTTTATTGCACGGAACTAGGATTTGTGGTGTCCGTAGGAATCGTCTAATGCCGAAGTATTACCCAGTGTCTCTTTAGTTCTCGACGCTTTCAGAACATGCGATGTACTTTCTATAACTTTCACGTGGGGTCCAGGCATTTCTTCAAGACTTGTGTGTGGTGCGACAGACACGAGTGTGCGAAACGATGCGGTACACGGACATTTTTCGGGTGATCGTATGCCGAGCTGTAGCAGAACCCCTTGTGAAAAAAAATCAAGGGTCGAATAGGCGGCACCCGCATGGCCTGGCGACACCAAACACTCTTCACGGCACATCCGTGAGCAAAGAGCGAATGTGGTACCTTCCTTTCGCAAAGGGGTCACACGACATAAGAGATAGACTTCATTCAGTCCCGCCGTCTGACAGTATTCAAGTCGAAGGAAAACATCCAAACGTGTTCTTGGGTAGATTCCCACTTGGTTCCGGGCAGTATCCTCTCTGACACATGGTAACACACATACCACTTGGTGGCCGCCACTACGGCACTTGGGCGGTCTCCGCAAGTGTCCTCATCGCGCGAGGGAGGGCTATTTACGGAGACAAGGAATGTGAAAAAAAGGTTGCAACTCCCACGGACGTGAAAACTTTCAAACGGCACTCTCAATGCTCTCTACGTCCCATTGAAACGAGATCCTCTGCAGCCAGCATGTACTCGGGGCCCCATAATATCGCGGTCAAGCGAGGGTATTCCCCATTCACATGGGGAAAAACAAACAAAACTGCGTCGACAAATGCAATACCTCACGCGCGTCTGGCCCCATGCGAACTCCTACGCATCGATCGAAGCCTTTATTTTTTTCCGGCTTCGCTCCGCCACCTCTTCCTCCTCCTCTTCTTCCTTATCCTCCTCATCCTCCTCCTCTTCTCCGCTGTGCCCTTCCGGCACCGTATCCAACACTCCCCCCGGGGCGCCAAAACTACCCTCGCTGCTACTGCTGTCTTCGGCGCCGTCTTCTTCGCCGGTGCACGCGACGAGATACTCGCCCACGACGTCGTAACGGCTGCCGGGGGCGGCGGAACTCACGTACTTCACGAAGCTCGTGATCGCCTCGTCGTCTCTCAGCACCAGGCTCAAGGCGTTCGACGCCGCGGACACCGATATCAGAGAGCCGCCCTCGTCCGCCTTGTACACCGCGGCGTCGTTCTTTTGCCCCCTCCCCCCACCTCCGGCGACGACACCTTCGCCGGGATCTGCCGTGCCGTTGTCCTTATCGATTCGACTGTCTTTCTTTTCTCCCTCTTCCTCGTCGTCGTCTCCGCCAAGGTAGGTAACGTAGCCCCCGACCTCGTCCTGCCTCCACGCCGCCTCCTTGTACGGCTCCCGATCGTCCACGAAACACAGCGTCGCGTCCAGCACCATGTACTCCTCCCCCTGGGACCCTCCCTCCTGCCCGTTGTCCGCAACATCACCACCACGACCACCACCACCATCGCGCTTTTTCCACTCCCACGGCGCCCCGGGGGTTGCTAGCGTGTAGTCGAGGCCGGGTCTGAAGCGGCGGGCTTGCCGTCGAGATGCCACAACCGGGGAATCGCCAAGGAGCTTCTGAAGAAGGCTCTTGAAGGCTCCGCTCCGGAAGAGCTGGGTTTTCATCGAGTCGGCGGCGGCGGGACATGAGCAACGAATACGGGGTGGGCAAACAGACAAAACATTAGTGCTGGCGCTCCATAAGATGCCCGAAAACACACACGGGCTGTCCTTTCAGAAATTCGCCAGCGTATTCCAAGGCTAGCTGAAAGCTCCCCGCTTGTGGTACCGGCGCTTGTCCACTAGCGCCCAAGCCAAAAACAGCATGAACTGCCAGCGGAGGTGAGGCGCATGAGAAAAGGCTCACCGTCGTTCATGGAAGTGACGTCGAGCCCCACCAGAAGGACCCGTCGGCATACTGACGTGTGTCCCGTGAAGTGAATCCACACCAAAAAACACGTAACACGCTTACCTTGTCTCTGAGAGTCCTGAGCAGGGCACCTATTTCATCATCATCATCACTGTCTCCTGCTTTCTGTCCATCGGCTGAGCCTGCCGCAAGAGCAACACGCACGGGCACGAAGACGGGATCAAGGTCCCCATTTTACGTCACGAAAGACCAAGGAGAGCAAGTCGAGCAAACACCTGTGCTCATCCCCGATGGCAAGTTGTGATCCGAGTCTGGCGCAACTTTATTTTTTTTTGTCTTCACTTCGAATGAGCGCTCACAGGATCGGTGCCGTTTACTCCAACCCATGGTCACACAGAAGAGCCCCTCTCTACTCTCCCCCCCTGCGGTACGTTGCCTTCGATTTTTAATGCGAAAATAGTTCAGCACTCTCTTCCCTCTGTGTACACACGAACTACTGTAGCGCGATCCACTAGGCCAGGAGCGGAAGCGAGAGAAAAACTCAATTTGCAATAATCGCTGGCTTACGCCGGTATTCGAACCCCTGACCTGACCTTTAGAAGGTTTCGAGGATACCAACTAGACCACCGGGGCGACCGGCTTCGTGAAAAAAAAGCTCGAGGCGAGAATCGAACTCGCGATCTCCTCTTTACAAGAGAGGTGCATTAACCACTGTGCTACACGAGCAACGATTTCTGCTGCACTACGTGGCATCAACAAACCACACACATAAAAGGACAACAACTATCGTCCGCGAAACACTCCACGCCGTTAGCTTGGCACAAGACTTGCCTCAACCTAGCAGAACAACGCGTCGCCGACCTCACCAAATGCGAAAACGTCGCAACGGAATCGAACGCCAAAAAAAACCGCCAACATGTCATGTCTACTGCTTCAATAGCAATGGAACAGATGGGACCAACGCACGTGTCGATTTCAAGGACTCTGACCACAACCTGGTGCATACGACTGTCCGCTCCCCCCCCCGTGTCGCACCCGACCGACGAACGCGGGGAAACAGCGGAAGCAGCCGGATCCGTATCGACCTCGAACGGTTGAGGAAGGATGTGCACCTACGGACCGTCTTCCAAGACAGGGCTCTCAACCGCCCTCCGCCCACGGCCCTCAGCAGGCCAACGGGAGAGACCGCCGCCGAGCTCACCGCTGTGGTGATGTCGGCCGCTGCGGAGATCGCGCCGCTGGCGAGGAGCGCACGAGGGAAGGGAGGATGGTACACGAGCGAAGCGCAGCACGAGATTTCCGAAGCGTCTAGGGAGATAAGAGTGGCCCAACAGCAGCTGCGCGGGGCCTCAAAGAACAGCGACTT